ATTGCCTGCTCAGCTCAGCTCAGTCACACTTAGCGAGATACATATATAGGACCACATTTTTCACTCTTTATGATATCATACCTTATTTTAGTGGAGTTCCCCCATCATGTCCATAGCTAGAGTCAGAAGCTATTAGCAGTCCTTTAGTAGTCATTCATTGAGCCCTTGCTTATTGCATTTCGCATTTTCGCTATTTTTGCATTTTGTGTTCCCGCTTGCTTCGCACAGCTGCTGCACAACTGTAAATTTGTTTTCCTTGCTTCCCCTTGGATTGAATGTGCTTGTCCATGCAAGTATAGCAGCCTAGGCATCACAATTGATCACTATATCAGCTTCTTGTATCCCTCCCTTTGATTTACCATTTGACCTAGAGCTGAGTTGATTCATCTCCAATGCATATATGTGGAATGTGTGTAGGGGACACATGTGTGAGTAGTGAGGTTAAGCAAAGTGCATGTTACAGGTACACAAGAATGTGGGTGCATGTTGGTGAAGCATGTTGGCAGGAAGCATTAGTAAGATGAGGATATGTGAAGCATGCATATGTGAGGTGTACATGTCTGGCGATGTGTGGACATGGCGAGTAAGTCAAAGAGACTCAGACCCCAGCAGCAATATGAGAAAGAAATAGATTCTTAGTGCTAGATACTGCCTAGAGCCAGAGTATATAGAATTGGATGGTGCTTAAAAGAGAAGTCCCAAATATTTCCTCCACTCATTCTTTTAAGAAGAAAATTGACTATGTGCGAATATGTTAAGCAGCCCATGTAAGTGCGGAACCAAGCTGAGTAATATAAAAACTAATAATATTGTCAGGGTCTAATACGCCCATATAGCATATGGGTACAGATATTAGACCAAAGGTACATCAGCATGAGAGAATAATCAAAATGTGCACCGATGAACCAGGGAGAACATGGGACAGATGGACAGCGGAGGTGCAAGGATCTGTAGAGCAAGGTGTGAATGTGTGTGTTGGTGCATAATGCATGTGCATGCATGACATAAGAAATGCACATGGCTAATCCTTTGGATAGGAGCTGGAATATGGAGGAATAATGGTAGTATAGAGCCTCATATCAGACATTGAGACACATAAGTCTCTACAGTAGCTTATTACCAGAAAATGCTCAATTCTCATCTAGCATCAGTATATCTACTTTCACATCCTCAGTGTCATTTATCTCGTAATGTACCTCATCCTCTTCTACATCCTCAATCATCATGGTACTATTCTCTCTTTGTCCTGATCAGTGAGTTTTACACTGGAATCCATTTCTTTGACTTCAACTGCAGCAAATGGATCATGTAAGTCTTAGAACAAGAGATCTTGCTTGATCATACACTTGAGACACTGTAGGGCTTCAACAATATTAGCTTTTAGTCAATTTTTCTATTTACTAATGATAATTCCTGCTGACGAAAAGGCACACTCACTTGAAACAGAAGAGCCTATGATTGAAGGGAAGTCCTGTGCTAGCATGGCTCAGACAGAATAATAAGAAGTGTTGACTCCTCACCATCTCATAATGCATTGACCCCCAGATGATCCTTCAAATTAAGGTATGCATTGAAATCCTTTGTTGGATCATTGGATAGACGCAAGGCAGAAGTAGGTGTAATGTTATTGTCTTTGTCTGATAGCTTGTGCATGAGCATTGAAAGCTTGCAGCTCATACCAATAGTTGTCTTTGTCTCAGTAGGCTTCAGTGAACCATTAGCATACATCTCTTGATAGTGTGCTTTGTATTAATAATGTTTTATTATATCAATAACTGAGCTGACACCATGTGATGAAAAAACTTATAATCTCTTCTGCATGTATGAGAGCATCTTAACATAGGTCTTCACCCCAGTACTGACAATATGGTTAGTTTTTTGTGACAGATCGAGCACTGTGTCTAATGTTGAGCTAAATCTGATATGACAATGTTACAAAGATCATGTATACATTGCTATAATGTAGGTGTCTGAGCTGGCCGATTTTTGGTAATATTCTGAAATCTTTTATGATACTGCAGTAAGGTCCACTTGGAAGTCAGTATACTTTTTGCAATCTTGACAAGTCATCCATGCTTTGTAGAGGGCCTCTAAGGCAGGCAATGCTAAATGTAGTGTTGGCCCTTGGTTAGTTGTGAATGCCTGCTGAGCATTATTGGCATGCTTCATGAATAGTATAAGTATAAATCCAGTGTGACATGAGAGATTAAGTCACTTACACTTAGTAAGTTGAGCAAAAGCTTGACATGGTCCTATTCAGCAGCAGTGAGCTCAAGACTGGTAATCTTCTGATGTCTATGAGGATTCTTCTCAAGAAGTCCAATTCAGCCCACAAAGTAATCAACATCCAGTAAATAATTGTAATGTTCATTTTAAAGCTTAGATGTGAGTTATGATTCAAAAGTAATCAGTATACCAACCTTTACATATATCACACACATTAATCCAACCTCAGTTACACTGTATTCCATGAGATGCAACAATATCCAGATTAGGTTTTGTTGGGTTGAAATAGTTGGACTTGCTATGTACCATAAGTAATGCCTATGTAGCAAGGATTGACGATGTATATAAGACAACTATAACAATTTTAACAAATAAAGCTAAAGCTTGGTGTCCACATATACCAATGTTTCTTGTGGTCAAATTTCTTGTTGGTGAAATTTTCAATGTACTTGCCAAAATGCTCCATCATCGTGTCATTATTGGTGGTGTTATCACAGATAATATAACCAACCTACAAAAGTGTTAGTATTGATATATAGAAACATAAACAAACTGGCACACACCTTATGAGCGACACCAACCTGTTTGATAATCTTGAACAGTGCTTGTCTAAGACACTTCCCATTGTGAGCATTGTTAAGATGTGTGAACCTGAGAAGGGCTGTTTGCACTGTCCATTCACCTGACATTGTCTCTTTAACCCAGGATCCAGTCACAGCAAAGTAGCTGTCAACATTGGATGCTTGCCATATATCATAAGTCATGTTGATGTGACCTTTGACAGCATCACTCTAGAACATAATATCAGTTGTAGTCAGTTAGTACAATGTAGATTTGAATACATACCAGTAACTGTTTGCACAGATTGATGAGGTTGTACTTAAAAAGATTGATGATGGCTTAACATGTCTGGTGTCCACCAGGAATGCAGATTCCATTGGTAGCACATGCAGCTACATTGATCATGTATTTAAATGTCTTGCGGCATATTGCATCAATAGGCTGGAAATAAATAAATATGGCACAAATTCAAAAAAATAGACACATACCTGATTCATTTCAATAAGCCATTAAATGGTGGCCTCAAGAAAGAGTGCATCTGAATATGGCACCACATGATCCTTCAGTTCCTGCTTGTGAATGTGCCTATTGAGTTGAGCTTGAGTGTCAGTGGTGGTGGCAGCATCTAACTTGCAGTGTTTTGTGTCACTTGGTAACATCAATGTAAATCTATTTGCTTGGGCCCACCTAATATATTCATTCTGCAAATTAACATAGTCAACAATATATTGCACATAAGTTCAGTAATAGCAGTCCTTATGCAATACATCCATATGGTGTCACATAGTTGTCACCTCATTGACAAAAGTACTGCTTTTTCATTTTCTTGCTATAACTTAGTTAGTACTACACCACAGATAGAAAACAAGTGTACCATTATCTGCACAATTTACAATTGCAATGTTTCTTTCCTTGTTCACCTGCATAAGCCACTTAAAAAAAACAATTAATGTCCATGCTGCACTGCTCTTAACATGGTTTTTCAGGGTCGTTAATATCTAATAACATCAATGTCCTTAAGAAAGCTGTCTACATCAATAGCATCATTGGAATGGTGCACACAGAGTTTTTCAATGTTATCCTCAGGAGTGTGTGCTCTTTTTTTTCCTATATAGGTGGTATATATTAGTCAGTATTGATAACATAAAAGAAAGACATACCTTTGGTGAGCCATTTCAAATTTTATTTGCTGAAGATTAGCGGCTCAATGATGCTATTCTCTTCAAACTCAGTGACAGTGTCAGCAATGGAAGTTTGAAGGGAGGGAGGTATTTCAGCACTGGTGGCAGCTGCAGCACAACTTGCAATATGTGCCTACCTGTATGAAAGCAAATCCAAATCAGCAGCATTGTCCACACTAACTACCTTGGCAGATGGCACAGGCACATATTTTGAGCATCTCATAGTAGGCACTTCTATTGGATTTGGAGCATACCAGCAACTCGGAGCTCAATACTGACAAAGCGTACAGCACATTATGTAACATTTGTAATATTCCAGTAATGTAGTTATCTGACTGAAAGCATAGGTATTTCGCAGTAGTATATAAGACTAGTTTACATTTTTTGTATTCTACACATCATCACAGGTTTCCTGTACATCTGAGTTTGGTTGTACTTCAATGGATATGTCTGAGACTTGTGGAAAACTCAATATAATGTGTTTCATAACTCAGCAGAGCTGTCAGAACCATTTTGGAGCTATTGGCAATTATACCGCCACCAGCAGAAGGCAGAAGTCTCAGACTTGTTATCAAATCTGGACTTATTCTCTTATCTTGGACTTCTCACACTCATATTACCTCACAATTTTGGCATTTTCACCATGGTCTATGATTTGGATCACACCTCTCGATTCCCACTCCTCAACAATGAAAATTATGAGGAATGGTCTATTTATATGAAGGCAGAACTAATTAGGAAAGGACTATGGCAAGTATATGTGGAAATTGATGAAACTGGGAAGACAAATGATGAGATAAAGATAGAATTATAGAAGTTGCTGATTAAGCAGAAGAAGATGGCAGAGGCATGAGCGGAAATTGTCCTCTACATAAAGTGTGATCAACTTGTGCACACATGTAATTGTGATCCCAAGATTATTTGGGAACACTTGCTCGGGTCCATTAGACATGTGGTCTAGGAACCAGGATGGCCTTATGGCAGAAGTTATTGACAGCAACAAAGGAGGTGATGGAATCTATGTCAGCCTGAATCAGTCGTGTCAAGGGAATGTCATTGGATTTAGAAGATATTGGTGTTACTATGGATGAAGAAGACCACATTCTTGCAATCACAACCAGGCTTGATAAGTCATATGATTTATGTATTATTTCACTCGACTCTACGTCTACTGTGGATCTTACATTCAACCATGTCATTGATTGACTACTTAACAAAGACATTCAGTGCAGGGGCACACTACTAGAGACAGGGAAACAGCATTTGCTGGACATTAGCTTGGGAATAATGGAAAAAGCCAGACTTGTTACCAGTGTGAGAAGAATGGGCATATTCAGGCATTTTGTACAGCCACACTGCTTTGTGGGAAAGGTGCACCTGGAGGCACAGTAGAAAGTGCTGCAATGGCAGCGGAGAATTTTGCTTCTTAGTTTTAGTGGAGATTTTTGCATTTTAAGTTTCAGTGGGTGTTTTTATCAGCATCTTCACTCCAGGGGGTGTGTTAGATTTGGAACATACCAGCAACTCAGAATCTGATACTGACAAAGTGCACAGTGCATTATGTAACATTTGTAATGTTTCGGTAATGTAGTTATCCAACCAAAAGCATAGGTATTTTGCAGTTGTATATAAGACTAGTTTACATTTTTTGTACACTATGCATTATCTATGGGTTCCCTGTACACCTGAGTTTGGTTGTACTTTGACGGATGTGTTACGACTGGGATAGTTCTGCTGTTGCCGGTCAAGATAGACCTGTCGGGCGAACAGTTCGTCGGCCTTCCTAATACAAGGAAGGTTTTTGGTGGTTCCTACTGCACGAGCCACGGCTTCTATGCAGGATCAGCAGCGAGTGGTTTTAGCACTTCTGCCTAGGCGGTGAGTGGTTTTAGCACTTCTACCGCAATCAAGGGTTTCAGGCTAAGACAGTGAGTGACTGTCTTAGAATCAGAGTTCAGGCTACTAAGGGTGGAGACCTTAGTAGATCAGGTTTCAAGGGGAAAACCCAGTAGATTAAGTTAAGGAATACAGCTATGGTACATGGGGTTTATATAGGTAAAAGGGAGCGGCGTAGCCGCGACAAGAAAGGTAACAGAGATAGGAAAAAGAGTACAACCTATCAAGATAGTAAAGATAGGTGAAACCGCCATGCGGCACAAGATAGTATCTATGTTACAATCAAGAAAGAAGAGAAGTGCGGACAGCCCGCTTGATAAGAGAATAGCCGAGTCTAGATGAGTCTAGAGTCGGCGGCATGGTTACGAGAAGAGAAAAATGAAATAGGAGTAAATGTTATTGTAACAGGATGTGTCTGAGACTTGTGGAAAACTCAACAGCTTTTTTGTCATCAGAATAGACATGTAGGACCATTCAGCTAGTAAAGAGTATAAATATTCAATTGGGTTATTATAGAGCACCAATGTAGTGGCATAAATAGACTACGTAGCTGTCCAGCAATTGCTGTTAGATTCACTTGAAAACCAGGGCTTCAAGGCCTAGTCCAGGCCTACAACAATGTGAAGCCAGGCCCTGAGCCCTAATAGGCTGCTCCCAAAGTCTGGCTGGGCCCAGCTCACGGCCTGAAGTCAGGCTTTGCACATCACTAATGCTACTACATTAGCTAGTATGTATGATGCCTATTGAAGGTATATCATATATGCCTCTTACTACTATCCAAGTCATATATATATCTATATTAGCTAGCATGTGTGATAGTCTAGAAGGTGTATACCTTATATTATATTCCTATGGTATGGGTATCATATACCTGAACCCACACCCATACCCCAGAGTACCCTTACCCACCACCCATAGTGGGTTACACATACCCACACTGATCCCTACTTGAGATGCTGCAATTGCTGCACCATCAGCTTCCTCCTGGCTCGTCTCCAATATTCAGCACAATATTTCACTTCATTACACTTGCATCAGGACTCAAGGATGACATCTTACTCATGCAAGCTGCATCTCACTATAGAATTTTTGGTAGCCCAAGTGCATGGTGAATTTGTTGCAAATGTATAAAGTATACAAAAATAATACTACCATAATAACTGTATGTAATACTGATGATTTAAGGTTTAAGCCATTCGGCTTGTTTTGAGTCAAACTCAATAAGGAAATCTAAATACAATGCTCACCACCCTGACAGTGCCCTATTTCTCAGCGGGATGTATAGTTCAAGATGGTGGGCCATTTAAGCTCTACATGAGCCTGCAAACATTTTGCTCAAATAAGTACTTACTAAGTGAGCAAACACATACGGTAAGATGGCATTTTGCTGACACACGTCTTCCATCTCATTTTTATCTCATGTTTGCTTGCCTAGATCTCTTAAAAAAAAATTCCTCTGCTCATGTCAAATTCTGGTATGTCAAGCAGGGTGGGGGTAAAGACATGTCTGCCCTAAACCCTGGTGGCCAGAGCTGCAATTGGTCAGATACTGATAGGTTAGTCGACAGAGTAGTAAGAAACAGAAACTATAAGAGCATATTATTACACAAACTTATTAAATGCGAAAATAATACACATTTTGATCATAATAGCAACAGAGCTAATCACAGGGAGGTGACATTAGGCTTCATTTCAGATGACAAAGAAATTCTAGATCTACCAAAAGACAAGCCAAGGGTCCATTATGGATCTAGTATGCTGTTTTATGAAAACACACCTTTGGCCAATGCATTTGGCGCTTTCAATGCCCTAACCCTACACTCATATAATGTGTTCCACCAAGTTCTGAATTGCAAGGTAGGGGCTAAGAAGGGTAAATCCCAGCCAGATCCTCCTGCCACCAGCACTAGCAGTGCCCCTGCTGTTAGAATAACTGAGAGTTCAAAGTCAATGCACATGATATTATTGTGTAAATAAGTAAAGTACTATACCTGAGAGTTCAAAGTCAATGCACAAAGCATATAAGACTTGTGAACTCTGCACTATGGGTGAGTCTATGTAAACAAATATAAACAATTCCTAGTATGGTATGTGTCCCCGAAGTGTCTTAGAGGTCTGTCCTCAAAGTGTCCTCAAAGTCCTCAAAGTCCTCAAAGTTATCTACTAATATAGTAATGTCCTTGAAGTGTCCTTCAAGTCTTCGAAGCCTTAGAAGTCTTTGACCTATCTAGTGTGAAGTCACCACACAACTAACATCATGTATATGTGTGTGTGTGTAAAGGTCAACACAACTGTGTTACCAGCCAAAAGTGATGAGAGCCCCACACTATTGTGTGTGCATATAAAGGTCAACGCAACTGCATTACCAGCCACTCCATGCACCATCACATGAATTCAAAACAAACATGGTGTCACATGTTGTAGTGCGCTGCCATGTCGCTTAGTCCCACCATCATGCAGACTATTGTAGAGATTCAACGAAAGACTCACGATTTTCTGCAACTTGTGCTGCAGTACCCCACTCTGTGGGAAAGTCATCTGCATCAAGCCAGCTGTTGATGGTGTATCTGTCCTTATTTTTGAAAAATAAGTCCCACACAAACCAATACTTCCCTAGCTCTCCAGACTTTTCTACCAGGCCAAGTGGTGATGAAATGAAGTGGCCTCCAAAAATATGGTGTACTTCCTCCTTTGAGAAAGGTCCTGACATGCACCCCAACTCCACCTTGTCATTGCAATATTTTTTGATTATGTCTGGTCTTTCCCTTGTGGACTTGTGATTTTTGGTGCGTACATTCGAGTGAGTGAGGACATGTCCCCAATTGGGAAGCTATGACGCAGGTTGAAAGTAAGGTCCAGATATTTCTTAGTGAGATCAAGATTGTGCAAGAAGGAATCATAAGCATCTACTGAATAAGGTGTGATGACATGGGCAAAATATCATTAACATGATTTTGAGGAGATTTCATGTGATGCATTTCTGCACTGGGAACACATGTGAAGGATTTCAGGTCCGTGGTGGGAAGGGTAACGGCCAAGGTTGTAGGAGATGCAGATGATCTCCTTTGTGGTCTTGAGCACAATCTTGTTGTCTTGTGACATGCAGACCAGTGTTGTTCCCTTGATTGTCTGTGTGTGTGTGCACCCACTGGATTTGTGTCCTATCTGACCACAGATGACGCAAAGGAGGATGTCGGATGGAGTTTCTCCTTTGCCCCTCCAAAAAGGCTTTTTATCATTTGACGTACCTGCCCTGGAAGGACCATCAATCCTGTGAGGGGGGTATGGGTTGTACCTCACCCCTCCATTGTAGCCATGATCACAATCCATCCTCGAATCGATCTTCACTTTGCTTCAGTGTTCCTTGTATGCACCCTTGTCTAAAAAGACCAAGGTGTTGAAGAATCTCCAGCGGGTCTCTATATCAAACCTCAGGACAGCTGGGAAGTTAGAGGTGAATTCATCCTGGGACATGCAGAACAGGCGATGCTCAGTAAAGCATGATATCAGCTAGATTGAGCAGAGACCTAGGTATTTCAAAGAGGTCTTCTGTCCCCTGCGCTAGGATAGTGTTAGCACTGATAAACACCTTGGCTTTCTCAGTAGAAGATGTCCCAGCTGAAGGCTGTGCTGGTTTCGTCTGATCAGCGTCTTCACCAACGAGCTTCCCAACTATCTTCCGTGTCATTGGAGTTAATGTTTTTAAGAAGGCAGCGGCCTTTGACATCTTTTTCCCTAGCGCACTTTGTGTAAAAGGGGTAAATGGTTCGGCAGCCAGCTCTTCCAAGGGGATTTGTCATCCGAGGGTTCTTCTATGTAGTCTGGATCTGCGTGTAATTGAGCCCTTGCTATGTTCCTTTCAGAACACTGATAATTTTCTTCAACCACAGCCTCATGGTCATCTAGATCGTGATGAATCCAAGTGTGTCCTTCTGGCTAATAAGGTTTGCTAAGCGAGCGGCCTGGTTGTCAGATACCCGACCTGTTCCCCCAGTGGGTTGAATGTGTCAGTGCTTTTCCCACCCACACCAGCAGGAGGGCCAGAATCCAGGGTTTCCATCATTTCTACATTAAACTAGTATAGTAGAATAGGATTATGTATATACATGCTCAAATTCTCAAATTGAGAACAATAATCAAGTAAGCGTGAGGTGAAGTCAGAAGACAAAAGACAAAAGACAAAACCAACGGAGACACATGTTCTCCTTGATGCGCTTCCTCGATTAGTAAGCACTAGTTTGAGCTCTTTTGCTCGCAAGCTTGCTGATCGCTCAAACTGCACAGTGGCTTACTAATTGCGATACAACTAATGTAGAGTCTGCAAAAATGCAAACTGAATTTGCTAGTGCGATGTCAAACTTTCACAGACTCTGCCAGAGCTACAGCTGAATAACAAAGGTACAGCAAATGATATATTTGGTGGAGACTAAATGTGAATTTCTTTAGTTGGGGTGGGGTTTTGGCTTTTTCTGAGCAATGCATACAAAGATATTTGCCAGGTTGATGTGAAAATGAGTCAGGAATTTGTCTAGAGCAAGCGAAAGATGAGAACAAATGCGTGTGAGATGAAGGGTGCAAAAAGAATTGACCTTGGGAAAAGACACAGCCAGAAAGCCTCAAGTGTGAAGCAGATGTATTTGGGAAGTTTTCTGAAATACAACACAACCTAAAACAAGCACTAGACAAACAAGTGCTTACACCCGAGTTGTGCAGAAAACAGTGCAATTTTATATAAATCTATCTGTATCTGCACTCATAAGAGTCCATGGAAGCTTTGATAAGGGAAATGTGTGAATCTTGTATTGAATTAGTGATGAAAGTGGGGATGGAGGGGTACCTCTGAGTAGGAGTTCAGTCACACCCCCAATCCAAAAACAGTGGCTAGACAGTGTTTCAAGGCTCTCTGACTTCCAAACATTGTTACATTGAGTGAGGAACCACATCCATGTCATGGGTGCCCATCCAGATTTGGTTTCAAATGCAAAAAGGGGTGCAGATGGAGGTACAGCAGAGTTAGCGGAGATGTGGTGTACAAGAGTGTCATATGGGTTCATAGGATCATCAATTTTAGAAATAGTAATGAAATCTCCTTTGCCGTGCATTGTTTTGGTCCAAAGAATGTAGAATGAAGCATATTTGGCACCACCTGGGGTGGTCCTATGGGTGATAGAGACAGAATGAGAAACATGGTGAGTAGAATCAAACACATTTTGTGATGGAATAATGAGTTCACTGAGTCTGATGAGAATTAGTTACTGGTGTGCAAGCAGAAACAAGATGGTACCTGCAACATGACCAAAAAGCAACACTTATGGTGCAGTGTACAGCTGCATTGAAGGAATTGGAAAGATCAAGACAGTGAAAAAGTGTATACATATGCTCTAAGGTTACAGGTGGTCTGTGCGGGTGTTTTGAGGTCTCTGGTATGACTTTGCCTAACCCTTACTTGGCTCTTCTGAGCAAGGCATGACTATTTCAATGAGCACTGTTTATCTGATGCCAAAAATGAAGCACTTCAAGTCAGTTGTCTGCTATTGTTTTGGTGATGTGGCCTGCCCAAGAAGAGATGAAAGCTATAATGAGATGTTTGGTAAATGTTTGTGTTCTATGATGGAAATTGAGTCACAGAACTGATGGAAGTAAAGCAAGCCTGTGCCATAATTCTTGTGCATTTTCTGTTCTACAGACATCAAGACAATGTTGAGGAGGTTGGATGCAGTATTAAGAGGAAGATCATTAAGTAAAGTGGAGGGAAAGGAGTCTGAATGTAGGGCGGACCAAAGGTAAACTCTGTCGCAAGCAAGAATATGTAGATGGTATTGAGATGGTGCAATTTTGTTGAGTGGTTTTGGTTTTTGAGGCTTTGGATATCTGTGAACAGTAGTAGGCAGCACTCCAGCCTTGGGTTGTCTCTTTAAGGTGTCCCAAAGTTGGACCATAACTGATACCATGTCAGCACTTGCTGAATCTGATGAGAGGGCATCAGACATAAGGCACAAAGAATGGCTCCAGCTCCAAAGGTAGCTGGATGAAGGATAGACACGAGCTAGCTGGGCCTGTTTCACCACAAAAAACAGGGTCCACTTTGTTAGCTAGCGACTTAGTGTAGGTGAGGTGATGTAGCATGTTGGACTTCATGATGATTGCTTGTATATGTCTGATGTAGAGATTGATCTAAAAATTTCTACTGCATCCTTGCTTGAAGGTGTTACAAGAACATCTAGACGCTTGGGCCCCCACCATTTTTCTCCTAATCCTCCTCGTATCAGCCCTCGCGTCATACCCTTACTCCGACCTTACCCTTGTCATCCTTGTCATCCTCGTGTTCCCTTTCGCTCTCTACCTGTCGCTTCAGCAGAGCCAGTACATCTGGCCGGATCCTTTCGCTGACGAAGCATACCCATGCTCTGTTCCACCACCTGACTGATCCTGTGGACAGTCCCCTTGCCCTTACCGTCCGGACGGTAACCTATGATATGATGCACGACGCATCCCCTTTGCCCTTTTCCCCTTTTCGGTCTCTGACTCAGTGCGCAGTCGCACATGCTACTGTTATGACTTGGATGGTATCTGTTGGCGATGCTCAAACAGAGCGTGTGTCGTCAATGGTCGAGGACATCCTTGGGCTAGCCCAAGGTTAGGGTCTTACTTGGCGAGGCTTCAGCAAGTAAGATTTGACGCCTATGTCCAAATCGGGTAGCTTACGTCAAGCGGGTGCTAGATGATGAGCTGTATCTGCCAAGGCTTACGACACCCGAAGGTTAATCGTAAGATCGTCGTTAATTAGAAGGACAGAAGTCCGACTAGTTAACAGGGGCTTTGCTCGTTGACGAAGTCGATGAGTAAAGATCGAGACTATAGGACTTATCCGCGAAGAGCAGATAAGAAGATAGAATATAGACTGCTGGCTAGGCAGAAAGGATCACTCTGGTGAGAGTAGGAGGTCAAGAACCAAGTAGATTCAAGTTAGGGAATACAGTACATGGTAGCGAGTTTATATAGAGGACAGGAGGACGTATTAGTGGGTGATAACTCGTACTACCAAGAGAAGTAAATCAGTAAAGGATATAACCATAAAAGGAAGCACGTTCGAGATTGAGGCACGGGTGAACGTAGAACGTGCTAGATAAGAAAGTGAGTCAAAGGATCGAAATAAGAAGTGAAACACGCAGGGGCACGATCGTGCAGCTGCGGAACTAAGTATAAGTCGCATGTGCGACTGCGCACCGAGTCAGAGATCAAGAAAGGGAATAGGGTAAAGGGGATGCGTTGTGCATCATATCATAGGTTACCGTCCGGACGGTAAGGGCAAAGGGACTGTCCACAGGATCAGTCAGGTGGTGGGACGGAGCATGGGTATGCTTCGTCAGCAAAAGGATCCGGCCAGATGTACTGGCTTTGCTGAAGCGACAGGTAGAGAGCGAAGGGGAATGCGAGGATAACAAGGATGACAAGGGTAAGGTCAGGGTAAGGGTATGATGCGAGGGCTGATACGAGGAGGATCAGGAGGAAAATGGTAGGGGCCCAAGCATCTAGATGTTCTTGTAACAGCTACTTATACTTAGATCCGCAGTTGCACGGTCGTGCCCCTGCGTGTTTCACTTCTTGTCTTGATCTTTGACTCACTTCCTTATCAAGCATGTTCTGGTTCACCCGTGTTTCACCCCGAACGTGCCTTCCTTTTATGGTTATGCCCTTTATTGATTACTTCACTTGGTAGTACGAGTTATCATCCACTAATACGCCTCCTGTCCTCTATATAAACTCGCTACCATGTACCATATTCCCTAACTTGAATCTACTTGGTTCTTGACCTCCTACTCTCACCAGAGTGATCCCTTCTGCCTAGCCAGCAGTCTATATTCTATCTTCTTATCTGCTCTTCGCGGATAAGCCTATAGTCTCGATCTTTACTCATCGACTTCGTCGACGAGCAAATCCCCTGTTAACTAGTCAGACTTCTGTCCTTCTAATTAACGACGATCTTACGATTAACCTTCGGGTGTCGTAAGCCTTGGCAGATACAGCTCATCGTCTAGCACCCGCTTGACGTAAGCTACCCGATTCGGACATAGGCGTCAAATCTTACTTGCTGAAGCCTCGCCAAGTAAGACCCCTAACCTTGGGCTAGCCCAAGGACGTCCTCGACCGTTGACGACACACACTCTGTTTGAGCGTTGCCAACAGATACCATCCAAGTCGTAACAGAAGGTGCCAATGACTCCTTGGCTATCTGAATAGATAAGCACAGATCTATCTTTCCAACCAGCAATATGCATGGTAATGACTGCTAGCTTAATAGTGATAGCCTTGAGCCAGCCTATGTCCCTTCTGTTAGAATAACTGAGAGTTCAAAGTCAATGCACTTGATATTATTGTGTAAATAAGTAAAGTACTATACCTGAGAGTTCAAAGTCAATGCACGAAGCATGTAAGACTTGTGAACTCTGCACTATGGGCGAGTCTATGTAAACAAATATAAACAATTCCTAGTATGGTATGTGTCCCAGAAGTGTCCTCGAATCCTCGAAGTTATCTACTAATATAGTAATGTCTTTGAAGTGTCCTTCAAGTCTTCAAAGTCTTAGAAGTCTTCGACCTATCTAGTGTGAAGTCACCACACAACTAACACCTACCCATCCGGTCGATGTACTTCCGGCACCACCTCCTGCTATGCCAATGGAATCTATGCCCTCTCCCAGCACCCTTCACACATTGGTCACTGGGCCATCAAATGTGCCACCAGATGGCCAGTCCATCTCGGCTCCTTTGCCAAACCAGTCATTTGCACCTCAGTCTCACCAACAAGGTTGATTGGTGAGTGGTAGGCATGCCAAGACCCTTTCCGGGGATGGGCCCAAGTAATATTGATACACATCATTCTGTTTTGTTCATTTTGAGTTGTGTCATGTGCCTGTCAATATATGTATTGTATTTTCAATATGTACAGGACAGTTGGTAGGTAGGTAAGGATTGTCTAGTATAGTGATAGATTATACCACATGGTGTACTCAATTGACTGGTTAGTATATGCAATCTATACCGGACAATGTGCTCCAGAGTATATACCAGACCAATAATGAACTAGAATACAATATGTTCATTATGATAAATTTACTGCATTCGACCAGGTGATGTTTTTGACCAGGTGCTTCATTCGACCGGGCGATTCGTTCGATCAGGTGGTGCATTCAACCAGGTGATTCCTTCAACCGGGTGGTGCATTTGACCGGGTGATGCATTTGACCGGGTGATGCATTTGACCGGGTGATTCATTTGACCTCGTGGTGCATTCAACCAGGTGATGTGTTCGACTGGGTGATTTGTTTGACCGGGTGATGCACTCGACCCGGTGATTCGTTTGACCAGGTGATTCGTTCGACTGGGTGGTACATTCAACCGGATCCCCTGTGTATATGAATCTTTCAGCCCACTTGTTTTTATTGTAGGCCAGATTCTATTGATAATTTCGTACATTCCAGTATATTCCTATACAAATGTCTATACCATATGGCCTTGGCCCATCTGTTGGCATCAGGTACTTATATTTGTCTGGCCCACTCGTCTCCACTGTAGACCGGATTCTGTTGATAATTATATATATACTAGTAGATTCCTATACTATTGTCTATACCATATGGCCTCAGCCCATCCATGTGCCCTGGGTACAAACATTCATCTAGCCCACTCATCTATATTCCATGCCCTCAGCTCCATTGGCATTGGATACTGATGTTCGTCTGGCCCACTCTTCTGCATTGTAGACCAGATTCTATCCACAATGTCCTACATACTAGTACATTCATATACTACTGTTCATATCATATACCCCTGGCCCATCTGTCTGTCTTGGGTACAAATGTTCACTCAGCCCACTCATGTACCACAGCACAATTATTGCCATGGGCCCACATGGGATGGCCCATCCCTAGTGGTACATTGTCACACTTGGCTGCCCATCTGAGACGGGTATATGTTACTGTATTATGTGAAATTCAAATACACTTACACACAGATTCCATCCTTCATCTCGTTGGGTTCCAAGGCAAAGAAACCTCTGGTAAGTTACAGTTGAAGTCTGTGACTTTAAGCTGATATTGGCACATGGACTTACCAGGTCAATGTGGAGTCCGCCCATGCTCATAAACAAGCTGCAGAGGTAAGAGCACCTAGACAAAATGTGTGACGGATGACCTTGTGATACAATTTCTTAGATACCTAAGTGGGCCAATGAACTCGTTAGCGAATCAGAAGAGTCCTACAATGACTCACCAGCAGCTGCCAAGTCCAACACCAGTACTTTTGTTGACACGTCAACCTCATTCAGTCAAGCTTCCAGCATCCAGGCCAAGATGGAGCAAGATATGTCTGATGCCAAGTGGAAGTCAGATGCTGACAGTACTACCATTAGTAATGGGGAATTCACGCTGTAGAAAGCTGATTTCCACTGGGCTCAGCAGAAATTGTACTACATAGACAACAAATATTTAGGTAGATCTTAGCACGACCTAGTCTGCTATACTTGCAGAAGCAAGTGCGTTCGATCCTATAGGGGTAGCTGTTTGGTATTAGTTTAGATGGTTAGTTATCAATAATAGGAAGATAATCCGAAGCTAAGAACTACTTGTCCGAAGGGAAACTGTCGGGTCCAAAAATATTGGAGTCGGGTCGGGCATCGGACTATGCATTGGACTGTCGGGAATGTGTCAGACGGTAAAGGAATGGTCAGAAGTGTGTCAGATTGTCGGTCAAATGAGTGTCGGATGTGTTGGAGTGTTTCGGAGAAAAAGAGCAGATAGATATTTTGCAATACAATGAAGTACTACTAATATCCAATGACTTCCATCTTACTACTGAGTAGGGAAAAGTAAGTAATGCAATAGGTAGGAAGTACTAGATATTAAATAGTGTCTATGTAGGATTTTGGAGTGCATTAGGCGAAAACAGTAGCACAAAATCGGGTCCGAATGTATGTAAAAGAGCATGCGTACTGCACCTTTTTGTAGATAACATGTAATAACACTGTCTGTAATGTTCAGTAATACGAAAACGAGTAAATATGCACCAGTGGGGGTAGATACAACTGGACAGGACATAGGGAGGACAAGTCCAATGTGAAAATGTCAGGTCCGAAACTTTCGGGTTGGGCATCGGGCATCGGGATCAGAATGTCGGGGATGCATCGGATGAATACTGTTTAACATGAGTATCAAAAACATGGGTTTTGAGCCCAGCGCCACAACTATCGTTACAATGCACCTCTCTGGATCCTCAAGTGTGAAACTCATCCTAATGGCAAAGGGGAAGGTGAAACTAACAGATCAAGATCTTGCAACACGAAATGTCATTCAAGGTGCTATCCTCGAAGCAAAGGCTCACATGACGTTCACTACTGGCTATCCGGAGTTGACCGAAAAGAATTTGTTCTCACACAAAGCACTTCTCAAGGCAGCTCGTGATCATGGCATCACATCTATTGAGAAGAAAATCCAGGCTGACAATGCATATGTGTCATCTCTTGCTAGCCTAGTAAGTCAACCAGTCACTGAAATAAGTACATGCTCACCAACAACTGTCTGCAGGTCGAGGCTAGAGTGCCACTGTTTCATGGTGATTTGAAGGATGAGGCTTGCAGTCAAGTGGCTGCCTACCTTCATTTAGGGTCTGCTAATACTAGTATCGCTTCCACCCAAGCTCTCCTCGTCAACCACTGCTACCACTACTTCATGAAGTTTGATGTATACCATGCAGTCTCCTTGTGTCTTGTCTGGTGCTGACTGTATTACAAAAGGAAAACAATGCTGCTAAACCAGTGCCGAGTAAACCTTACATGGGAAATCTCATGGTTCACCTTATGAAGGGCCATTATTTTAATGGATCAAAGTCTGTCAGCATCATTTTTGCAAAAAAATTTGCTGATCTCACACAAAATAAAGCCCAACAGCCCGAGGTCACTATTCCTATGGTTGCTTTGACTGCTACTTCGGTAATGTATCATGCCATCTAATACTAATATATGTATTGACCAATCAAACAACTATCTACTATCTAGGTATATGCAGCGCTCTTCTGGAAGGCCCATGGTTCTCCGCCCAAATTCAACTTTACTGGAAATCAGTTTAGCGATGTCTACTTCTTCCACATCAAATTTCTTGAAAATCTCAAGGCGAAATCACCTGAGAAATTTCATAAGCTTATGCCCGACCTGTTCACTGAAATACAGTATGTCCGTTTTTGTTTCCTTGACATCTTAAACTCATTTCAGGGTCTTTTGCCAGTGATCTCGCACTGGTCAATAATCCCACTACCAATGCAGAAGCCAGTGCACTTGCATTTCTTGACCTTGATGGGATGGATGAGGATTGAATATTGAGCATCTACTAACAGTATCTCTGCTCTCTGCCATCTAACATTGTATATATGGTATATAATCACATTCGCGCTCACTCATAATTCTCCATATTGTGCATTAATTACATTCCTTTTGATGAAAATTAATCTTCCTTGTATACAAGTGGAATCTAGTAAGGAATATAATATATAATTCAAAGCAAGGACCGAAAATATTGACAACACTTGCACTAAGTTCTCCCTAATTCGCAAAAAGATTGTCTAATTATGTCCAGGATATTAGGTGGGTAAAATAGTTGTTCTAAAATTCTACAAACACTATTTATACTTAGGTTGAAAAATTTACCTCTTGGCTCGCCATATACAGTAGGGCATGTCACGTGACCCCGCCTCCCGCCGTGGTCAGGGTGCTGCTCACGCACAGCAAGGAGGGACGAAGTCGCGGGAACGATGCCGGATATGGAGAGGAACAGATGGAAAAGTGA